TAAAAACAAAAATTATTGCTAATTAATTTTTAAGATAAAAAATTTTTATCGACTAAGTTCAAATTTTTATTTACATACGAAACTCATTATAAACGTATCATATACTGTACGAGGCAGAATTACAAGCTTGCTTTAGAAAGTATTCTGAAATGTGACTAGCTCATTACAAAAGTAAGTCAAAATTCTTTAGCGTTTTTATTTTTAGTGAGACTAGTAGATAAGTGAGGCTAGTAGTAAATATCATTACGACTAAAAGAATAAAAACAGCAGCTAGTGTAGGATAATAAGAGACAGGAAGATGAGGGTTGAATGTGGTAGATGAGGATGCTAGTCATTTATTTAAATGACTAGCAAGAGAGAAAGAGAAGAGAGGGAGTACGTCTTATTAGAAATATTGATCGGATTGTCTAGCTGTAGGGCTGCCAAACTAGACATTTTAGAACATACAGTTCAACTGTTCCTAACTTGAAATCAATATTTTAATGACATTTGCAGAACTAGCGAGAGAAAGCAGGCTGGACAGTCCGTGTATACGTGATGTACCTAACTCTGTCTCCCGTGAGGGAAGAGCCTGAAGCCACCATCGCTTTAATGCAGCTGTAGGAGTGAGCAAATCGAAGTCCATATAATGATCCGATTTAAAAATATATAAAAAGCAGAACTAGGAGCCTGTTCCACTATGCGCATGCTCAGAGCTTCACGAGAACGGTTTGCATAATGATTGTTAGACTTGCTTTCTACCGGAAGCAGGTTGTTCCAATAAAATATATAAAGAATTATGTACGTGTGTGTGTGTGTGTATTGTACATATGCATAACTGTTGTCCTGTGTTATTATCTCTTGATTGTTTATGTATATTACAAACTATTTATTACACAGCAGGCTATACATAAGGTAGAAAAGAATGTAGTGGTACTTTTGCCAAGGCGTATTTACCATTACTGACGTCATGTTTAGACAGCAACAGCTTGTTTTGTGAACCATTATGAAGGTTGTCTTATATATATATAAAGAAAAAGGTTGTTTTTTTTTGTTTTTTTTTCCCAAAAGAATTACTGAAACCGTGTACACTTTTAACCAACAAAAGTGTTTTTCTTCTTTTTTTTCCTAGCAGCCAACTGTATAATATTAACCCCCTTTTTTAAGGCATTGGAGAGCATACTATGAGTTATTGAACATTTCAAGCTTAAGTTTAATTATTAGTAATTACAGTTAGGCGCTTTTTAATTTTCAATATACAAATTTAATGCAAACAAAAATGTAGTTTTAACAGATGTATTTCAACGTTTCGTAGGAAATCAGATTTTCAAAAACGTTTTAATAATTCATGAAGTAGAAGTTACAAATTACGTTACCATCTAGAAACTAATTAGCCCTTTTAATTACATGTACATTTAATATATTGTTAATATACACACCGAGGTATAGGCTACTACCATATACCTTAACTGAAACTGAAGAAAAACAAGCGTGACAAACATTATTAACGCACGCAAACGCTGATGGGAATACTTAAAGACACTGGTAACCAGATTTTAAAAAAACATGCCCTGAATTTAAGATAGCTATAAATTTCTCATTGTAAAAAGATGCTTCGGAATTATAAGTTCCCATAACATAAGAAAACTTTCTTTTGTTAAAGATCGTGAGAGCTAAAGGCATTCGAAGTAACAGCTGCTATCTACAGATGTTTTTCTTTGTTTATTGTTAAGCGAGAAGGTACTGAAGGGTTATCTGTACTCTGGTCACTGCGAGTATGGAAACCTGAGTTTTAACCTTATAAGCCCACAGATTTATCGCTGAGCCACCAGAGAGGCATAAAAATCTTTAGTCTTTTATCATTGGTATAACTTTACATTTTATCATAATTTGTTTTTATATATTATAAAAAATACCAATATTGATTAAAGTAGCCCATTAGTCACTCAGCCCAAAATTAGAGATGGCTAGCGCAAATAGCTTTTGCATATATATATGC